CTAGTTTCTTTAAAAACTAACTACAATAACTGTGGTACTGTAGAAGAAATCACTGTTTACTTTATCTTGATGGGGACATTATACTACTTTATATTATAACATGCTAGTTAATATTCTCAGGTGGAAATGACTATAATAAGAATTTAATGGCTTGATGTCCAAAAAAAATTGAGCTGTTTAAATAATAACAGTTCCATCATTAAAAATATTACAGTATAGCAAAACACTTAATGTTTCCATTTTAATCTTTTTTCCTATTATAACTACATTTTAATCAACATAGGCAGGTGAGGAATAGCAGAAGCAAACATTATCTTTTATAACAGTCCTAAGTCTAAGATTCAAGAGAGAATCACATTCCAGTTAACTAAATATCCCATAAAACTTTTGTCAAAGGAGAATTAAGATTGCATGGTGGCAGCAAGTGCAGAATCAAAAGGGCAGACCTCCAAAAAGCCTGGAAATTAAATTCAGATAATTTAACTTTCTGTAAAACAGAAAATTTAAATCTAGTGAATAATCACACTCTAAAACTTTTTTCTTTCATAGACTGAAATATAAACTAAAATAGCTTTGAACTACTTCAGGCCTGCTGGAAAGCTCTTAGATTAAGCACAAATGGAATCAAGTTGGATCAAATTAAATGCCATTTCACCTCAGTTTTTACTGCATAAAGTGGAATGAAGCAGCCACGATGAATGATCAGAACACTAAGTGTGCTAGCATTGACTGCAATTGAATCAATTTTTACACACTGAGACAAGAGTCTAACAAACCAAAACAATTAAACTGATTTAATCATTATCACTTAGTGTCAGTTTAGCAAATGGCAACAGTTTTTTGTATTGATTTGACTAATTAATTGTCTCACATTGAGTGACAAACTCAGAATTCTGCAAGAACAGCACCCAGTTCCAGACAGCAATATTCGTTTACTCTCGGGGTGTAGTTCTCTTTGAACTGTGAGCTGTTCTTAAAGTAAATAAAAGTTCCATCCCATTGGACTGGACATAAATTTGTAAAAAAAAAAAAAAAAAGGGAATTGCTTGCACAAAACTCCTCTGCTATATCAGAACAGAAACAGCTGCCTATTTCTTCCTAATATGCAGCTAATATGTATCACTGTAACAATTATATTAACTACCTAGTCTGTAGCCTGCTTAGTTAAACAAATTGGATGAAATCTATTCTATTCATAGATGAAACCATATTAACTGACATGTCTTAAATATATAAAACATTTTCAGTCACTTTTATACTAACAGTTGCAGGATCATGAGCTTTTTCTTCACAGCATGGCTGTAAAGGTCTGAGACTGAAAGACTGTGTTTCCTTGGGAGGCTCAAATTTACTGAACCTGGCACCAGTCAAAGGCCCTGTAAATTAAAATTTGAACAAAATACTGTTCTAATGAAATGCCAGCTTCCACAGCAGTCTTCTTTCAAATGAGTATTTTCACTAAGACTTCACCAAGAATACTCCAGAGTCCAACAAGAACATGAAAATGTGTGGCAGGGCCATGGCCATAGTCCTGCAAATTGTTGAGTTTTTCCAGTCTAGAACATGCACTCCCAAACATGTTTTTATGTCCCCCAGGATTTACACTGGGTAGGGACTAAGGTTAAAGATTAATGCCCTTTGACATAATCTTCCCAAAATAAGACTTTTTTTATCTCTACACATTAACAGGGTGAGGGGGGAACCAGCAGTGTATATTAAAAAAAAAATCTATAAACATAAACAGATAGAAGTGGAACATATTTCAGATTTAACTCTATGCCCTTGTGCTTGGTAACCAGGCACTCCACTTGCAAATTAAATCAGATCTGGTAATAGCTGGTAAAAGCCTGATACTTTCTGTCTCACTTGAATCATTCTGGAGGAGAAGCAAAAATCAGACTGTTGGTATGTAGTAAAATCACATAAATAGAAGTGGCAAGATAATGAGAAATTAAATATCCTATTAAAAGCCTGTCACAATTACAAAGCTGACACTGGTTGAGCATGTTTGAGAACATTAAAAATGCCAATTATAGTACATAAAGGATAAATATAAATTAATTCCTTTAATATCTGTTGTCCAGTTCGGATCCATTTGGATATCTGAAGGACTGAAAAACAAATCCATCAATAAAGAAAAAAAAAATCTGTAACATATTTACCAGGTAAAAGCAAACTGCATTAGAGCAACAGAAGGAAGAAAAGGTTACAAGGAGGGATTAAACAGATACTTAAGCAAAAATCAGCTGTGGAGTTCCAAACTGCAGGAACAGAGGCAACACAGAAAGGCAAAACTGGCAGGAAAGCAAAGAAAGACAAGGAACTGGAAAGAGAAAATGGATAATTAAGAGGAAACAGAATGTGAAACAAACCAGAGAAATTACAGTATATTCACTTTTTGCAGGGCAAATAAAATCATATTTTAAGAATTATGGTGTTCCAAAATGTATTGAGACAGGCTCTGCCACTTGTTCTAACAGACAGGGTGGCTAAAAAAACCAAAACAACAAACCTTGAAAAAAAGAAGGAAACTAAAGTGAATATAACAATTTCACATCTTTCTGATGCTGAAATAAATGTATCTGAAAACTTGTTACTTCAAAGGTTAAGATTCTGCATGTACAGCGCCTTTTCCAGCCTACAGCTGTCATGATTTCAGGTTTGGTTTCTAAAGGTGACAAACTCCTGCAAGGATTTTTCACACTTTAAAATACCATTTGGATTTCAGTGCACAGTTAGGAAACCAGGTCCCCAGGAGATAACACGCCTGCTTGTCAAAGTTTGGTTTGATGTATTACATGATCCAAAATTGCTTAAAGGTTTTGGCACCTTAAAATCAATACTAGAAATTGAGTTCCTGTAGTCTAGCCAAGTGAAGTAATGATGGCAACAGCTTAAGCATACTGTAAAACGTAATTAGCTTTACATATGAATGCTAGTTTTATCACAGTCTATAACTGATGAGCAATGAAAGTGAAAAATACAGTTCCTTCCAAAATCTTGTAATTAAATAATCTTAACAGACAAAATTTTGATGTGGAATTCTGTTTGTGAAAAAAAACCAAAAAACAACAACATCTCCACATCAAACTAAAACAAAATCAAACACCTTCAGAAACAGTACTATTGTTTTTCAATGTAACTTGTCACTTGTAACAACAATAAATCACATTTTTATTGTATGTATGTGACAGTGAGCAGTGTCTGTTCAAAGAAATCAACACAGGAATGATTTTTCAGATGGAAAACAAGGTAATCTTCAATATCAGTATTAAAAGTGGGTTCATTTATGCAGTTAGATTTGTTTTTAAACAACAGGCCAATCCTTTAGAAAAGCTTGTAAAATGTAGATCTTGAAACAGAAGCATAGCTGGTCAGAACAGCCCAGTGCACTCCACCCAGTTCAAACTTCATTCAGGTAACTCCTGTCTCTAATTTAAAAGTCTTCCCTAAAAATTACATCAGATGTAATTTCAGGAAAACATGTTTTCCTAGATTTTCAAACACTTACAAAGGGCACTATCTTTTATAAAACTTCTTCCTAGACTACATTTATGACAGTTTTGCTTACCTTTAAAAATAACAGAAACGATAGGATCTGGTTTCCCAAACTTGGTTTTAGGGATATTGGTAGCAGATTCCACAATCACCCGAAGCATTGCTTCCCGTCTTGCCTAAATGTTGACTGCCCCTGAAGGAATTAAATCCTCAGTTTCACAGTCCTTAACTTCTGGACCGAAATGCTAGCAGGAAGAGGAGGCAGGGAATTACTGGTTTACAGCAAAGGAGGTCTATGGGTGGATCTATGACGGACTAGCTACTCAAAAGCTCCGGGAAAAAAAAGTCCTGTAAATTGACACCAGGTTCTGTCTTGCTGCACAGAGAGAGCTCTCGCTAATGAAATCCTGTAACAGAAAAGGCACTCTGCAAAAACTCCCATTTCTTGTTGCTGCTTTTAAACTGCTTGATAGATCTGTCGTCAGAAACCAAGGCAAGAATTAAGCAGCATGAACTTTAAGCATGACTCTGGAACTCGAGCTAAACCACATTTGCCTCTCGGTATACCAAAGTATGAAATTTTAAGATGGCTTTTATTTTTTTCCCCCCTAATTTTTAGAACTTCATTGCTCGCAAATGCTTTTGGCTTGTCTCCGTGCCAGCCTAGTCACAAACTGGCGATGATCCCAAAAACCAGTGTAAGTCCTCCCCCTCCTGTTGTATTGTAGAACAGCGACACTGCAGCCTCCTCACGGAACGTCCTGGATATAGCAGATTTCTTGAGGAATTACTGAAACATACATCCATAACTAAAAATTTAAGAGTATTAAGGAAATGCGTGAAAAAATAAATTAAAAGTGACATATATTGCTTGGAGCCATATGAATATTTTGTCTTAACAAACACTCTGGTATGAACTAGGTAACATTTACAGGACAAGCACAAGAGCTCTGAGCTCCCCGTGCTCAGCGTTAGTTTTTCTCAGCTGTGAACAGATGTAAAATCTGAGAGGTTCAGGCCACCACTGCCACAGGGCAGCACAGGGCCGCAACTCCCCGTGTCATCAGGGCAGAGGAGAGGGGAGGCCAGAAAGATGGAGCAAAATGAGTCACAAGTGAGCGCACTTCAGCCTAGTTTTTACATGGTCACACGAGACCTATCCTAGCTTACTTTGTAATTTCTAAAATTATTAGATTCGGGGTAGATGAAGAGGATTTCTGGAGAAGGGAGTCACAAGCGTTCAGGGAGAAACGAGGACACAGACACGTAAGAGATAGCACAGAGAGGGCACTGAGCCATCCGAGCACCATGGCGCACCGCTCCGGCCCCCCGCACCGTGGGCCGAGCCCTGCGCTGACACCCGCCCCGGAGCCCGGCGGCGGAGGGTAGAGACGCGACATGAGGGGGCGGTGACACCGGGGACGGTGACACCACGGGACACCGCCCCTCGGGGACATCCGGCAAGGCCGGAAGTGACGGTCCGGAGCCGCGGGATTCAAACTCCCGGAAGCGGCGCGGGCCGGGCCCGGACGGAGCCGTGTCCCCGCTCCGGGCCGTGTCCCCGCTCCGTCACTCGCGGCCCCTCTGGGCCCCGCGGGGTCCGGGAAGGCCCGCGCAGCCTGCGCTCGACTCCAGCTGTCGGAAGGCTTGTCCTGCCCGCTAGAAGGGATCGCTGTTCAGTAGCGCATCGTTTGGTTTGTACAGGCGCCTAAAGATGAACGCCAAGACGGCCATAGATCGAATTATGGGCAAGGGGGGGCTAAAGTCGGGCAACTCCAGAGCTGACAGCGGGCTCGAGAAGGGTAAGCAGGAGGGCGCTGCCCCGCGGAAATCCATGGAGGAGGTGGCGGCAGGCAGAGTGACGGAGCCGGAGAGGAGCGGGCTCCTGCAGGTGAGCCGGGCTCCCCGGGCCAGCTCGGCCCTGTCCCACCGACACGGCGCTCGGCCTCGGGAGCCGGAGCCACACCCTTCCTCTCAAAACTTTTGATGTCACGGCTGGTTTAGTAGCGTTAGACAGTTTAGACCAACTTTTCGTTTCACACTTTCATTCTCAGATGTTTTCCAATGACAGCTGAGCTACTAAAATCGCACTCATCTGACAAGGCTGGTAAATACAAAGACTTGAGGCCAGAGGTGCCAGTTAGTCCATTAAGACCCGTCCTCACGTGCCCAATAGAGCACGTCTCAGAGAAGCATTTTAAGCACTTCCTGCAAAGAATTTTACGTTTGCAAACGTTTGATTAAAACATGCCGAAAGGTGCAGAGTGTTTGTTTGAATTGTCAAGCTCCCACTCGCTATAGGTAAATGAAAGTGTAATTGGGTTGCTACATTATCTTCCTTTGCAAGTAAAGAGCAGAAACTAAGATGCTGCAAGGTATTGAAGCGTCTGTATGTCTGTATGACTCTTCCACTCGAGGTAAACCTGTGGTTGAAAGTGAGAAGTTCAAGACTTAACAGATGACCTAGTCAGAGGTTGTCAGGCTTCTCAGAAGGACAGGGAAACTTCAGATAGACACTAGAAAAGGGTACAACTAATGTAGAATAGACACTAATATTTCTACGGCACTTTTTTTAACCAAAGGGCTTGTCATGTGTCTGTGCCACAATGTCAGTTGAGAGCCAAGGATGAGCTGTGGCTGGGCAGCTCATGCACAATTTTGTCTAAATTCCTTAGGGTATTTGCTGAGTCTGTTGGTGTTCCTTAGGGTATTTGCTGAGTCTGTTGGTGTTTGCTGTTTGCTTGGTGTTGGTAACTTAATACTGGTTTTCTATAAACTTAGAAAAACAGGTGGAAAATCACCATCATGTTTGATATGCCAGATACTCTTTGGTATTTAAATAATATTAATATTAATTTTACTTTTAGTGAGCAGTGGTGTTCAACCATTTCATAAATGAGGCTCTCTCAAATTCACTTTCTGTTTCTCTTTCTAATGACTTGTCTTTCCAATGTCAACATGCAGGATTTCAACATCAGCCCTTCTCAGCAGAATTAAATGCTATCAGATCTGACATTCATACAGAGCCCCATGGCATCTTAAATGTGATACTTATTCTGTGTAATGATTACCTGTGCTGGAGGTCTACTGGAAAAAGAGTGCATGGTGAAAATATCTACTAAGCACATTTTGAAACTACAGGCCCAGATAATATGGAAAACAGGATCCTTCTCCTGAATGCTTTATTATAACTCTTGTAACTCACTGTCATGTAGTTTGCAAGAAGGCTCTGCCGCTTCCCCAAAGCTACCAAATATGACAAGAAATATACTAAGAAATGTAGCACCAACCTCTTTGCTGGAAGTGTTTTGGAGTTCTTATACTGCTTTTGATTTAGGGTTCATTTACTGTAGTGATCTTCATTCATATGCAAAACTGAGTACCTACCAAACCTGTGAAACTTGGCTCTTTGCATTCTCTCCCTGGTTCATCTATTTCAGATTGATTTTACTTGAAATATTTCATATGATTGCTCCAGTATTATCTGCTTTGAGTTAAAAGTAATTTTCTCAGTGAATTAAAGGCTAAGAGAGAACTTTGAAAGTGAGCATCATAGAAAGGGTTGGGCAGGAAGACACCTGAAAGATCACCTAATTCAAACCCCCCTGCCATGCACAGGGACACCTTCCACTAGACCCTGCTGCTCAGATCATCTCCAACTACTGTAAACTTACTAATGCGTTTGATGCATAGAGTAACATTTACTCTTTTTTATTCTGTTTCATTTAGAAAATACTTTCCCTTGAGAAAGAAAAAGAAAAATACAATCACCTTCTTGGAGAGAAGGACAAAGAAATCCAAAACCTGAAAGACAAGCTCAGGTCCAAAACCAAGAACAGTGAAGTCTCCTTATTACAAAATCAACTAGAGGAAAAAACAAAGGAAGCAGAAAAGAGAGAACAGTTACTTTGTTCTCTATCAGAAGAAATGAACCGGTTAAAATGTAATTTATCTGCAGCCATGGCAAAATGCTCTGATCTTGAGAACAAAACCAGTAGTACTTCTCAGGCAGCCCAGGTAAGCACTGAAGAAATATTGCAATTGCAAATTGGAATTTGTGCCCACTAAACACCAATACCTGTTATAAAATAGGATGTTTTTAAAATTTTACAAGCTGTGTTGTATGCTGAAATATTGTTGTATGAAAGGAGATGGTATCCAGATTGAACTGTAATTGAGGGACAGTCAGAGACCACACTTCAGGCAACACATCTGGGGAGGAGGGAATGCTCTCCTGCTCTATTGCAAGGTCCCTTGTTCAAGTTCACACACGGGTAGTGTGACTTATGATACTACATGGGATGATTCACTGTTGCTTAGCAGGCACTGTGCCCTTCTCAGATTTGTGTGCTCAGTGATTAGACAGAGTGAGAAGGCAGCAGTGGTAAGAGATGTGGGGCACTAATAAAGACAAACTAAGCTGCTCACCTAATTCAGCTTCAGTCATGAGAATATCTTTCTTCTCTCTGCTCTTATGAATCCTCATTTGTGTCTGAGTTGTTAAAACTAATTGTCTTTACTTTCTATGGTATCACACATGGTAAATTCATAAATGTGACACAGGATAGTACAAGATTAATGAGTGTTTCCCCTCATTAAGTGGTTGATAGGTATCTTGCCAATCCTTGACAGTGTTTACAAGTCCATTAATGATTCTACAGCTGTTTTTCCACCCCTGCCCTGTTCTAATGTTCTTTGGAAAATGCAGTAGTATCTCTATGAGGAGCACAGGGAAGTTGTTCAGGCACAGGTGCCTAAAAATAGGTGGCTGTCTTTCTTTTCCAGCTTTTGACCTGCAGATGGTGCTGGTTCCCTGCACTCTACAAGGGAGTTGAGCAATTTCTAGAAATTCTGCTGTAGCCAAATAACAGACTATTTTTATCTACTGCTTTTGAATAACACATGTATATATAGTACTTCTAATAATGCAGTTTATCGAGAAATATCACTTTAAATGCAGTGTATTTATTTTAAATTTTAAGACACTTCAAACTTCATTAAAGGTATTAATATGTATATTGAGGCAACAGATTTTCATTATATCTTTGTCGATAAACCACCAAAATATGTATTACTTTAAAAACATAATTTTCTTTTAAATTTTTAACTGACTTACCAACAGAGGACAGTGATGTATTGACTGGATGTCTTGGAGAACTTGAAAACAAATCTAGCAATGCTTCTTGAAACTGCTAGGTGGCATATGAGCTCTGAAATGGAAACAACAGTTTTATGATATAATTTTGGGAAAGTTTTTACTGAGGCAGGACTCTGATGTTCATAGAAACAAGTTCAGTGTCTCTAAATTCTATTTTTATTAGGAAGTGTTTAAGTTTATTAATTACATTCAAAGTTCTGTATTTTTCAGCTATAATTTCTTCCAAGATCTGTAGAAAAATGTTGGAAAAAATGTGGTTTGGATTTGGGTAGTAGTCTACTTTTTTTTTCTCAGTGAAGTTCCCTCTGACTTACACCTACACAATTTTATAACCACTTTGCATCATTCAGAGAAGATACATGACAGAGAGGAAGAAATATGTCTGTGTAACTGCTCTCCAGTTTTAGATGGGTCTCAAGAACTCTCCTACTCATATGCGTACAAAAGTCATACTCACTGTACCGGGGATCAGGTCTCAGAAAATCAGGCAGTTTGTCCTTATGCTTCCAGACAGGCCTGCACGATTACCCAGATGTTTACAGTCTTCCTGTTATCCCAGAGAAGCACCAAGGTCTCTGTCTTTCCCCAACAACTTCTGTATGGCTGGGTCATTGCCATACATATGAGGATACACAAATAGAAGAAAGATTTATCTCTCCTTGTACTTAAATGATACTCTTCAAGTATCTTCATTTTTCAAAAGCTCTTTGCAGAACACCCTTCAGGACTTCCAAGACAGCAGTTCAGCAAAAAATGCATTATGGTTTCCTTAGGAAATGTGTTAATGTAACTACGAGTTGCAGACTTATGGAATAAATTCCATGTAAATCTTTGTCCCGTATTTTGCAGAAGAGTCTATTTTAAATACATGAAATGCCTTTCTACATAACTTGGATCCTTCAAAAAAACATCAGCAACCAACTATAAAGATCTTTAAATACAAAAGGCACATCTGTTTCAATTTTTAAATGCATCTGTTTTAATTTTTAAAATATTCTTATGCTACTTATGTGAGATTAATAGTTGTACAGGAGTAGCTTTGCTGTTTCAGCCATGTATTTTAAACACCATTAACAAGTTGTTCTTTGTCCGCAGGAAGGTGCAACAAACAGCACTGAAGTTGAAAGACAATTGAAAGATGTAAGTTTCCTGTAAATTTCAAGCACATATCACCTGTATTGAGATGCAGAATAATGTAAATTATCATCATGTACATTTTTGGGTAGTATGAGACCTCAGAGGGTATGTTTCTCTCTAAAATATAATACCTAAAATTATTTTGTGATATGGCAATAATTTAAACTTAGAAACCCAAAAACCTGCAAAAGAAAAAAAAAAAATTAAGATTTCCATCATCTTTGAAAAAGCTTGCTTGGAACATCAGAACAAAGTGGTTGCTGACCAGTCAGGAGCCTGTAGAAACCTGACTCTGCCTGAGATAGCATGAGGTTGGATCAGAAACTTCTTGAGGTCCCTTCCAAGCTGAGTAAGTCTATGAGCCAAGCAGCTAAAACATCCATGTCCTTGTCCTTACAAACTAAATTGCAATGATACTGTTTTATTTTATTCTGTTCCATTTTCAAGGTCTGTTATTTTATATTTCATTTTTTATTTGAGATTGAAAAGCTAATTCTTCATAATCTAGGCACAACTCATGGAAGCCTTTGATCTTTAAGTAATTTTCCCATTGTTGCACTTTTAACTTATGCTCAGCATCCTGAATTAACTTTCGAAATGAAGATGGATTTATTTATTTATTGTACCAATTACTACAATTTGCATCAGACTTAGCTAGCTAATCTTTAAACTGTCCAATATAGAACTTCTAATATTTTTAAGACGTAAGACAAATACTTCTAAAAGCTGATTAATTACCAGAGTCTTTTTTGTTGTTGTTCTGTTTCTTTTTATGAAGGCTCTTGAGAAAAACCAGCAGTGGCTACTGTATGACCAGCAACGGGAAGCATATGTCAGGGGATTGCTTGGAAGGATCTTTGAACTTGAACAGAAGACAGAAATAGTTAGCTGGCAAGAACCTAGATCAAATTCAGAAGGTATCAACTTCATTTTTACCCCCACAAGTGACCCAAACCATAATTATCTATAGCATAAATTTTCTGAAAACAAATTGTAGCACATTTAAAATCAAGGCTTTGTTCTCAACACTTTGGCTGCTTAATGGTAAACTTGGTTAAATACTATTTCTCTGCTTGCTGTTATCTACCTATGTTACTTGACCAACAGTACTTTCTGTTCTTATCCACTTCAAAGATGGTTTTTAACAGCCTTGACACTCTATTAGCAACCTATCTGTTTGTGGAAAGTGTTGAGGCAAATAGATGTCTCCCATCCTTCAAAGTACACTTTCAGTCGACATAATGGAAGCATTAAGGATTTATTAGCTAGGTGTGGATCAGATTTTTTTAAATTTACTTTTTTCAAAATAAATATTATAAAAATGACTCAAGATTGCCATGTTCTTTACTCACCTGAACAGTTGTTACAGGGCAAGAAAGTCTGTGATAGGTTTTGGCACCTCTCCAAAGCAGTGTTTCACAATAAGGATCTGGCCAGCTCCAGCTCACTTCCTTGCTGTGCAGTTCCTCAATAAGGCACACCCTCTCAGTATTAATAAAATTAAAATCATATTGAGTAGAAGAACCAGAAGGAATTGACTTGCTTTTCTTATTACCAAATTATTAATTTCATACATGCTGCAACTGACCTGCAAGGTAATAATCACTAAACAGAACTAGCATCATGTGGAGCAAGAGCATACTCACAGACTTGCAATAGTAATTCGAGGGCAGTGGATTGGTTTCTGTATTGCTGTTTGAATCTTTCTGGAAAACAGTGAAATATCATCATAATCTTGTTTTGGTGCTGTTCAGAAATCTGTGAACAGTATTTTTAGAGGGAGGCAGACTCAGCTCACCAGGAAACGTACCCCAGAGTTACTGCAGTCAAAGCTTTGCCAGAAGAGCAGCCAGGAGATTTGAAGTCAGGGTGTTAGAAAGTTCCTCTCTTCAATCAGCTAGGCAGTAGCAGAACTCCAAGTTTCTAAGTTTCTAAGAATCTAGCTATACAAGTTAAAAGTATATATGAAAACCTTTTCCAAGGAAAAACTTGGCCTCTCTCTGAGAATGTCACTGCTATAAAGGAGTACTGCTAATGAGAAGCTAGGGCTTAGTTTATAGCTGAGGGAAGGGAAAACTGTCAAGCAGGAAACTCTCCCTAGAAATTGTGCTTTGAAGAATTAGTCCAAGTCTTCTATAGGAAAAGTATCAAAGTCACAAAATTTACAGTGCTAAAAATCAGCAAAGCCCATGAAATTCTACATCCATTGTTCTGCTTCTAGATATATTTTGTATGGTTCCTGATTTTTTGCATTCTGCCTCTTATTTTTTTCCTACTTATTAAACCTTTCTTGGGTCAACAAGCAGAAATTTTCTAGCACTGGTTTAAATAATAGTTGCTACCCAAGAAGTGAGCATTTTAAATCAAAATAAATATCCTAGTCCTTTCCATTTGCTGTTTAGAAGGAAATTATGGCATACTATTTGGAGAAGATGATCTGCAAAAGATAATGGAAGGTCTGGCTATGGTTAACAAGGTTGAAGTAGAATCTGTCACATCCCAAGAGTATTCTCAGGGAAGGAGTAATGCCGGCAGCTTGGCTAAAGAGCCTAAAAGTGGAAGTAGGAATCCAGTGTCTTTGGGTCAGATTCCCATGAGTCAGTGTAATGCACAAGGCCTTAGAAGAACAATGTTTTCCAGTATGTTGGTAAGGAGGCTTAATGTATTATAAATACTGAAAGCTGTTTCAACCAAAGTTTAGTTCTAATCTGAGCTCTGCAATGGCAAACTATGTTGATTTCTATTAATAAGCCTTAAAATGCTGTTCAAGATCTACTTCTATGATTTTTAAGTGGATTTTATTTTTTTAATATTACTAACTCAATTATTTGTGACTCATTAAGGTCATCTACAAAGGGAAAAGCAAGAATACCATGACCAGCTGTTACTAGCTGCTAGGAATGATCATGAGACTGAAAGACGCACTATAACCCAGCTGAGATTTGAACTTGATGAACTTAAAAAGACATACGAAGAAACACAAGGGGAAATGATGAGTTTAAATGCCTTATTGCAGTCACAACGGGTTGCTGAATTGAAGACTCAAGAAAATGAAAATAAAATGAAAGAGGAAGCACAAAGACTAAAACAAGAAAATGAAACTATCAAAGAGCAGCTCAGAGAAGAAAAAGAAAAGTCTGAGGAACTTTTATGTCAGGTAGGTGGATGGATTTGGAGGTTTGAGGTCATTAGCAAAGAATCAAGAGAGATAAAAATTCATAGTTAATCAGAATGGACCATGCCTCTCTCTGGTAACTGTTCTTCACATAGATCTAGACTCATGTCCTTCTGGTTAAAACTGAATTGTTTAAACAAGAAACTTCTTTGTTCATTTATTTCCCTGGTCTTAAGAGACACAAAAGAGAAAGAAGAAAATATTGAATTGATTCTGATATAGTTCATCCTTATGAGTAATAGTAAATGAGAACAAGAAAGCTAAAAATTCATTTTATTATGTGCTCCCAACTATGGAATACCAATAATATCTGCTGTCACCTGGAAGCTAAAATACAGCTGATATTTGAAATAAGAGAATAAAATTTACTAGACACCAAAGTATGCCAAAGCCAGAACAACAATTAAGCATGCTAAAGACAGGCTGGTTGTCACTGGTTAATAATGATTAAAAGAAGTTTATTTTATTTTGTTTTATTATTTGTTTTATTATTTCTTGAAGCTGAACAACAGCATTATCGTCAAAGTTGATACATGCTGAAAGCAGAGGGTATTTTAATGTATGCATTTACTTATTATTATGATATAGCACTTTCTGACGTTTAAACTTGTTCTCTTATATTAAAAAAATTGCATTGTTTGTTTTTATTAACATCATGTCATGTGAGTGCAAACAGGTTTTGTGAGTATATTTTTGTCAGCATCCTGGCAATCACTTAGGAGGTTTCAGTTTTTGTTTTTTTTAACAATAACATCATCCTGCATTCCCCCTTCTCGGTGCATTAATAATTTTTCACTAGGGTTTTTCCTGGGGAAATAGTGATTTGAATTGAGTTTGGCTGTTCTTGCATAAAAGGCATACATTTTCTGTTGGCATTGGAAGGTAAGAGTTTGCTTCCATCCCATTATAAATTAGTTCTTTTTAAGCTTATTAACTATAGTATATGAAAATTGTTTGTTACAAGTGTTAATCTGCCTTGTAGGTGCAACTTCTTCGTAAATCATTGCTCAGACAGGAGGCAGAACACACAAGAATAGCTTTGTTGGAACAACAGGTACAAAATTACGTGCTAAAGTACTGATATTTAATCTGCGTTAGGCACAAAGTCTTTCTAGACTAACTTCACATTTAAGAATGATTAGTATATTAAATAAAGTAATGCTAGGCATGAATATTCAACAGTGCATAATCTCTTGATGCTTTCAAAAATTTTGAAACATCTGTCAGGAGGAAAATCTGTAACCTTCTACTGATAAGAGGGTTATCAGTATGAATAACCTGATGCTGTTTTCTCCACAATCACTGTTCAACATGTAAAGCCTCAGATAAGGCACAGGAAATATTCTAAAACTAATCACGTAATTAAAATTTTGTAATAGATTTTTGATATAGAAATAATTGCATTGCTGTATTTTCTATTCTCTTTATTTGAAATTGAAACACCCACCAAACAAAATAACTTTAAACTGCACCTCTGCTAAGGGAGATTTTTATAATTGGGCATATGTGAATTTCACTGTAATGAAAGCAACAGCAATTTTTAATTTTTCATTTAAATTTTCCTTTTAATCTCATTTTGAGATGTTATTGCAGAGCAAAACTGACTTTAAATATATAAATAGGAAACATTCCTCCCGATTCATACTAACTTTGACTTCAGTTTTTCACTTTGTTGGGCTGCCAGATCCAGATATGCACCACGGACTTAGAGAATGGAAAGCTTGATCGCCAGAACTTGAAGCATGAGTTAAACCATGTTCTCAAGGAGTTGCGCAAGGCCAAGGAGAAAATAACCCGTCTGGAGCCTCTGGTATGTACTGAAAAGCTTGCAGGTGAATTTAGTCAGGGATTTTGCATAAACATACATCCTCTTGCTTTGGCAACTTATTCCAAGCACTGAGTAAGTGTCCCTCCATCCTTTATATCTTTCCCCAAGGTGCAGAGCCTTGTGCCAGGCAGGCAGTTAGGCACTGCTTTTCTTATCACAGCAAGCATGGAGTGGGAGCACTGCAGCAGGAGCTCCAGAACAGTCAGGATGCTGAGCAGGGAACACTCTGTATTTTGTATCACAGCGTGTGACCCAGTTTTGTCTTGCACCATGACAAAGCTGCAATGTTCTTCCACTCAGACTTGTTGCCGGTGAACAGGGCACAGTCCTTTGTGCTGTAACACACCCAAGGCCTGTGTGCCATCAAACCTTAATGTATTTTCCCCCAGCATTTGATTAGTGCATGCATGCCCCAGTCTTACAGTGAAGCTCCTCCTTTTCCAGAAACTCCGAGAATCTGGACATATGGAATCACAAGAAGATTTGCAAGCTGTATTTGACAAGAAGCTGACCACATATGACAGAAGTCCTCCCCTGAAACATTCCAGCTGCCTTGATGAAAGTTTTCTCGAGTGTCCCAGATGTAAAGTGCCATATCCAACGAGCCAGCATAGAGAATTACTAGCACACATTGACTTCTGTACAGCTTGAGCTCCAAATGAACTTACTATTTTTGCTTCATATATGCTTGGCAAAAGATCTTTTAAAGCCTATTTCTTACAGTTCTATAAATGACAAAACGATAATTCAGTTCCACAAAAACAGTATTAGCATTATAATTTGGCCTCAGTATTTTACCTCATGTTTTTGAAAAACAGCTCCTGCATTTTCTAGTTGCAAACAGAAATATTTTTAGAATTAGGAATATTTTAAATAGTAAACTACTGGCCTTTTTTCCTTTTTTTTTTTTTTTTTTTCTTCTTTTCTTTCTTTTTGCACTATTAAATGTAAGAATAGTAAAAGCACAATTCTTGTGTCAGACTATATTTTAGTTTTGGCATACCCAGTTCTTGGTTGTTGAATCCTGATGATTGT